GTAGGAAATGCAACGTCTTATGGACCGATACCTGTGTCTATATGTCCCTCTGTCTGTCTGTCTGCACGCCTGCCTGACAATTCCTCTTCACTGATACTAAAGCGCTTAGCAAGTGACAGGCGCTATGGGTTGAGGTGAATTTTTTTTGTTCCAGAGGGAAAATATCAAATTAGCATATATGAAAACAGCGATCAATAGGAAAATTTAATCTTTTTATAAGAGACTGAGCGTTTTATTTGTTCAAAGTTAACAAAACGACAACATTGTAAGTTCAATTTATTCGATTTTCTACCATTTAGCTGATGTATGCCAACTCAACACCGTTCTGCACGATGTGGATAGAGACGTAAGCCACCATGACCCGGAAAAAACAGAATGTGACCAAAATCTCAACCCTGATTGGTATCGTTTCCTGGACATTCCAGGAATAACAATGCCGACTGAGTGTCCAGATCCTGACAAGTGCGGCACATCATTTCCAGGCTGGTTGAGCAGTAGTCACCCCACAGTGACTGAGGGAGAAGTAGCAGGGACTGTTTGCTTCAGCAGGAGCTCGGATATGTGCTGTCACCAGTCGAAAAACATAAGGGTGAAGAACTGTAGTTCCTTTTACGTCTACTATTTAGTGCCGACGAGCTGTCCCTACCGTTACTGCTTCACACATAACTGAACATCTTAAAACTGTTAAATATTTAAGAATATTGACAGCTTGTTGGGTTAAAACATATGCTCTTCTTGGGCGAGGTTTCAAGGCAACGAAGCCCAATACAAAAATATTTTTTAACCCAAAGCCGACAATATTTTATGGTATTGGTGTCTGAAAATCGCACTCAGTTGTTTTTATAGTGATCCATCCAGTAGAAGGATAAGTAAAACTACATACAAATTAGTAAGTGCATGATCAAAAATTCCATTCTCTCTTTCTTTAATACATATCCATGGGAACAGCATCTCGAAGATGAAGTGCTGTGGCGGGTATTTGGAAGATTTTGTAGCATTTCAAATCAATGAGCTCATCTGGAAGCAATAAAAACTTACCAAAATATTCTTCTAGTGAGCTTGAAGTACGAAGACCTACCAAAGTATAATTATGTAGCATTCAGCTTAAATATTTCCAGAATGCTGTTTAAAGAGTTATTTCACAATGTTGAGGCAGAGGAAGGCCAAATCGGTTGTATTAAGTTAAGGAGCGAATCTTAATGATACTTCGATGGTAAATAAGGCTTGCATAATTTCTGAGGTGCTTTTTGGCGTGAACATAGAATAGAAAAAGCTATTTTCCTATGTAAACTCTCCTTTGTAATACTTCAAAGATTATTCAGCACCTGTTCTTCATTGATCCCTCTAGTTGTTGATAGTAACATTTTGAGAGTTGAAAACTATCAAAAATCTACTTTTTTTGATACTTTTGTCTCCGTCTTGGTCCCCTATAATGTTATCGTAGGTATCTCCAACTCTTTATGAACCCTATTGATTCAATTTAAGACTCGACCAAATTGCAATTAATGAGGAACTGTATTGACCTTGGTTACGGTTAATAATGACCAGAAACTAGCAATCAGGAAAGGGGCAGGACCTTCTGAAAAGAGAGTCAAACATTTCTTCTTATTAGTAAGATTTG